GCAGTACTGTATAGGCATATGGCTGCATTTGCATCACCACCCAATATTCGTACAAAAAAACCCGGCAATTGAGCCGTAATCCGTTGCATACGTATGCTGATCACCACCATAATTGACCGCTGCATTAATATATCCGCATTCGGACACTCCAAACGTCATACTAACCACTCGTGTTTGATATTATCCGGACATTCGGACAGGATACCATGTCTGATATTCGGACAATATATCCAACTTTGTCAATATTGATGCTATCGTATTGATATATTGACCATTGTAATATATATACATGATATGTATACAGTCCAAACCACAGCGCAATAAGTCGTGTTTTGAGTGTATACCGACGTGTCCAATTCGGTCGACAGTCGTGACTATAACATGTTGTTAGTTTAGTTGACAACATGCCATGATGCATGTCCAATATATAGTATGTATATACATACATGTCCAGTATCAATCGCATGCATGTAGTGTCATTATTCATCGAGATACACGCATTTCCAGTTTCATGTCAAATATTCGTGCTATGTGCAAGTTGTATTTTTTGCATGTATCGTATGACAACACATGCATGCATTGTACATACCAATGCCATGTGCATATACTGTAGCAGTTTCATGCAACTAGTGTCACTATTGACGACGATATACGACATCAAACACGCCAAAACGTCATTTTCGGACTTTGGTCGACCCATTCCATGTCAGATATTGACCATAGTGCGTCAGTGACATCATAATTCGATCCGCAACACATAATTACATATATGTGGTGCATACCAAGTCATTTGATCGACTTTTGTGGTCATACTCGATATTAAAGTTTTTAGTTTGCAATTGGTTTGAAACGACGAGCTCTACTTGTTATTTTAATCTAGTATCGTGTCTATCAGTCAATCAACAATTTATCTTGTATGCAAATGCGTCAAAAATACATGTAGTATGTCGTTCTGATTCGATATTAGTCGGCATTGACACTGTACGACCACTACTGACCAAGTTATTAACATATTATCGACTAGCTCATACTGTCCCAGCATGTCGTCAAGAAAACCATCATATATTACAGTGTTGTGCCAACAAACATGCATGGATTGTATTGAAACTGGACATGATACAATATCAAGTATATACATGTATTGTCATGGCATCAAACTGACATGATATCATGTATTGGTTGTGTAATAGACCATAATATATGCCAACAAAACGCTCCAAATCAGGCATGATTATAGTCGTAAATATATTATTGTGACTGTGTTGTTGGACAGTGACTATCAATGACTATCAATAACTACTAGTGACTATCAATAACTGTCAATGACCATCAATAACTATCAATAACTGTAAAAACGATCAAGGTTTGTAGCCTGACAGTGTACAATCGAGTTTATTAAATCGTGTAATTCTGGTCGTTATTCGACTTTACCCAACACTTGAACACTCGATTGTTGCATACAGTTTGACAGTCGTCATACATGGCCATGTGTATGCTGTTGTATAACCAGAGACGCAGTAGTGTTGCCATGTGTTGGTTGAATCGACATACTCGACACACACCAGTCAATGCAGTTTTGTCCGAATCCCTATTTTTGTTGGCTGTAGTTTTACACAAACTTGAAACAGTCGTCGTAACAGTGTTACTGTCATTGTCATCAAGCTGTAGTATGTGTGACTGTAGTATTGGTTGAGCTATTGACCATGTATTCGAGTATGAACGACTGTAGTTTTTTACAAACAATTGGTCAAACAACTAGTCAGAATACAGGTCAAACAACTAGTCAGAATGCAGGTCTGGACAATCGTCAAACAATCGTCAGAATGCAGGTCTGGACAATCGTCAAACAATCGTCAGAATACTGGTCAGAATAATAGTCAACAACTGGTCAGAATGCAGGTTGAAATGCAGGCTAAACTAGTCAAATACTCGTCAAACAACAGTCAAATACAAGTCAGAATACTAGTTAAAATGCAGGCCAAACAACTGGTCAATATATGGTTTAAACAATCGTCAAATACTGGTCAGAATAACAGTCTAAATACTAGTTGAAATGCAGGTCAAACAGCCAGTCAATTAAACTATACAATGCATTTGATATTCATACATTACACAATCAATCGCTAGTGAATATGCCAGTCATCGATATGTATTGTAATCAAATGAATGTATCGGCCATTGTAACATGAATATATGATGTGTATACAGTCCAAACTACAGTGTAGTATCGTGTGTTTTGAATGTGTTCCAGTTGCGTCCAATTCAGTCGGCAGTCGTGATTATAACATGTTTCCAATTTGATTGACGATATGGCCTGATGCATGTCCAGTATATAGTATGCATGTATACTCATGTTCAGTGTCAATCGCATGCAACTAGTGTCAGTATTGGTCAAGATATTCGACATCAAACACGCCAAAACGACACCTTCGGACATGCACTTGATGGTCATGATACACATTGATATATTGCCCCAATGACGACGTAATCATATACACAA